AATTTTCATAAAAGTCACAACTTTTCATTAAAGTAGCAACCTTTCATAAAATTTGCAACTCTTCATTTTCCATTCACACATTTAAAACCCAAAACTGTTGAAATATTTATAGACTTTAAAACTCACCTAAGTCTTGTCAACACAACTTAGTCTTCTCCTCTTTAATGAAACTTCTTGAAATTAAACTTGACTCGAACTCCTTCTCACGTTAGGACTCCTCCTTGCATTCATCTTTGGAAGGAGATACTTACACACAATTTACCTTAACTGAATAACAAACTATATTAATCAGTAACTCCTTCTTCTAGTTGGTTTCAGTTACTCTTCTACTTTGAATTTGGAATCTCACGTGGCAAGTTTCTACTTTCTATTTCTTTTAGACATTTGTATCCTTCTTTTATTTTTTGTAGTTTTCCTAATTTATTATGAAATATCGGTCCTGCTCCTAGCTTAACCATCCTATGTGACCCCCTACTGCAATCAGACAGTGGAAAAAGAATGATAACTTAGGCGCGACGTATTTTGCCTGCGTACTCCTTTATAAATGGACACTTTATGTAATGGTTTCTTGTCGATAAAGCAACACTTACATAACTTTTTAACTTTTGATTCTCATGGTTGACTTTTCTCCAAATCACAGTCCTATTCGGTCTCAAAAATACATGTTGGCGCAACCGTTTCCTTTCATCTAATCCTCTATTTGTCAATTATCAAAATCTTTCTCATTCTAACACACTCAAAATTAGAGGGGGCGAGGAAGTATTCGGAAAGGAACAATTCTTTAGATGTGGTGTGTAACTTTAATTATCACTCTAAATTTCAAAGCTTTTTCTCCAATTGTTCGTGTATATATGTTGGTTAATTGGTTTGATTTGCATTCAATTTTTCCTTTTACCCTTTTTGGTATATAAAACTTTTGGTTAAGATTTATATATAGAGATGGGGATGATTTTCAATGTTTTTTATCTTTGATTGAGTTTGTGAATTGCAATGATAAAAGGGGTAAAAAGAAGATAGTTGACTATTTTTCCTTTGTTTTTTTTGTGAAGCTCGTTCTCGATTTCTAATGTTGAAGTTGACCGATTAAAATTTCTAAAATAATTTTTTTTAATTTTTTCGTTTTATGTGTGAATATATGTAAATCAATCTTCTACAACTAAAATCAAATAGGGGGAAACACTAAGAAGATGATATACCTAAAACATTAATTTATTACTCTATTGTCATATCATGTTAAGACAATTCTAAATCTTGTAGAAGTAGTCTATTTATTAGGTGGATATATGAGTTCATTTTGTCATTTTCATTTCCTAAAATTATTGAAGATCTTGATTTCATAATGAGTAAATTAAGTGTCACGACCCAAATTTTTCAAGTCGTGATGGCACCTATGTTCCCAACCAAAAGGTAAGCCAACCCAACATATTAACCCAACTAAACCAACAAATGAGTAAAAAAGACCAACGCTTAGCAAGAATCTCCAACATTGAGTTCCTTATAAGTACGAAATGCGGAAGATAAAATATATCACCCCAAGAATTGGTGTCTTAAGTACAAGAGCTTCTAAAATTCGAAGCAACTCTAAAACTAAATGACAAATCTAACATAAGGGATATCCTGTTTGAATACTAATAACAGAATAAATAAAAGATAGAGGGAGGTGTGGGCCACGGAATAGCCAAGCAGCTCACCACAACTCCAAGAACCTCAAGCCGTACTCAATTTGCTCCACGAGATGTGCTCCTACTCGGAATCGAATCTGCACCACAAAGAGTGCAACAAGCGTAGTATTAGTACGAAACCACGTGTACCCAGTATGTCTCATTGACCGACAACGAAGAAGTAGTGACGAGAGTTATATAAGAAAATAAATTCTTAGATTGTACAAGTATATATATATATATATTACACTTACTATAAAGTTTCATCAATAAAGGAAATCAACATTTAATATTTTCCAAACACCAAACGAAACGTATAGTCATCAAGAATGAATGATGGGATGAAATGCAATGCAATATGATGCCGTGTAATGATATGGCTCAGAATACCCAGTACTCACTCAACCGTATATACATGATACTCTTCGGAAATACATCGAGAGTTCATGACCCATGGGGGACTCGCGAGGTCCATATACCGACACGGACGATCTCCACGTGTCTGTGTGGACGATGTCAACGCACTATCATAATATCAAATAATTTTCGCTTGGACGGTCTCCACGTGCCCAAATTACAATCTTAACATCTCACCGTCCCCAGCACGGACGATCTCCACGTGCCCAACTTATACTCAGTTTCATGTCTATGCATGTGCACAATATTATTTCAATAGAGGGGATGATGATGCATCTCAATAATTCAATATGAACATAATATGTAACCACCTCAATTAACACAACTATACTGGTGAAATAAATAGAACACAATCACACATGGAATTCAAGTCAATAATATATCAGCTAATGCCCATATGTTTGGCATTCTCAAATTTCAATCCACATTCTATAATAGTAATTTTCCGTTTTATAACACTGGTACTCGTACCAATGCCCGTCACACCATTGATACGAGACCACCATCTTTCCCCCTTATTCCTTTGTCTATTTTCATTTTTAATCTTTAATTAGGAAAACGTCATTCAACAAGTCTAAAAAGTCTTAACATACCTTAAGAGCCGAACCTCGTGCCACGAATCTTCAAGATAGTTTCTTTCCCTTTCGCAAAGTTTCAGAATGTTCACAATCTACCAATTACGCAGTATTCGTAAGTAAGCGAGTTTGTAGACTTTAAAATTATTGTATGTCTATCATAGACCCAAAAAAAACTCACTCATAATTCAAATAAATTTCCAAATTTTAATATAGTTTATATGCCAAAATTATTATACTTGCTAAATTTTAAGTCAAGAATTGAACTTTCATCTCTCCAAATACCCTAAATATCAATCTTAATATAAAATACACCTAATAATTAATTTCCTATCTCAATATACCAAAAACTAGTATCTTAATGTGATAATAATAAGAAAATAAGCCAACTTAAAACTATTTACGAAGAACTAGTTTGTTGCACCTCAAATTCCTATACATCTGCATATTTGCATACAATTTCTCAATCCCAAAAAGAAAGAGAACTATCCCTGCAGCCATTGAAAATCCTTGGGAACTAAAAACCTTGCCAAAAGTAGAAAAAAATTCAAAATGTTTCAACCAAGTACTAGTAAGGACCCATAATATAAAACTCTTATTTAATGTCTCTTTCTATCTATTCTGACCATTTCATTCTTGAATTCAAATCAAAACCTTAAAAAAAATAATTTTATCTATAAAGAAGAATTGGAAAGTCACAAAATTTGTCCACTAACCTTGCAGGTACACAAAGCAAAATTGGAAAATTGACATAAAAATATAAATAGAAAACAACAAAAGTAAAAAACTCTTTCACTCAATGACTAACACACACCTAACCCCACCACTTTTGCACTATATTATCCCATTAAATCATAAAAAAATAAGAATAATATATTATTATGAACATTCAATAACACAATTAGATTGAAAGTTCACCTGCAATACACGACTCACGAGTAAATATTATGCCCACGTCGCCGGTAGTTTTTGAACCCTTTTTATTTTTCTGTTTTTTTTCTAATGTTAGCTTGTTATAACAAATAAACTAATCCCACTAACATAAATAAATTAATGGGTCAAGTATAAGATATTGAATAAATTATGGATATGACCCATTAACTATTAACTATATTAATCCTTCACTAAATTTTTTTTTTCAACTAAATACTCTTAGTCTTCGAATAATTTAAAAGTACCCATTTAAATTTTCAAAAGGAGTCAAACTAGTCCTAGTTCTCAAAACGACCAGCGGGTCGTTACATCACCTACCACTTAAACAAACGTTCGTCCTCGAACGGAAAAAGAAAAGAGCTAACCTGAACGCTCAAAAATATGAGGATATTTACTTCTCATGTCTGACTCTGTCTCCCATGTAGCCTCTTCTAGTGGACGATGCTTCCATTGAACCTTTACTGAAGCAATCTCCTTGGACCTTAGCTTCTGAATTTGCCTATCCAAAATAGTTATCGGCTCTTCCTCAAAAGTCAAATTCTGATCAAGTAACACTGAATCCCATTGAATCACATGATCACCACCCTGATGATACTTCTTAAGCATTGACATATGAAATACAGGATGGACACCTGACAACCCAGGTGGCAAAGCCAACTGATATGCCACCTCACCAATACGCTCCACAATCTCGAAAGGACCAATGTACCTTAGACTCAACTTGCCCTTCTTTCCAAATCTCATCACACCCTTCATGGGTGAAACCTTAAGTAGAACCCGCTCTCAAACCATAAACTCTAAATCACGAACCTTCCTATCTGCGTAACTCTTTTGCCTGCTTTGAGCCATGAGAAGTCTATCTTGGATCAACTTGACCTTGTCCAAAGACTCCCTCAACAAATCTGTACCCCATGGTCTAACCTCAAATGCATCAAACCAGCCAATTGGAGATCGACATCTCGTACCATACAAAGCCTCGAATGGTGCCATCCCAATGCTCGAATGATAACTATTATTGTATGCAAACTCTGCTAAAGGCAAGAACTGATCCCACTGACCACCAAAGTCAATCACACACGCCCGCAACATATCCTCGAGAACCTGAATAGTCCGCTCAGATTGACCATCAGTCTGAGGGTGAAAGGTTGTACTAAGATCCACCCGAGTGCCCAACTCTTTCTGCATAGACTGCTAGAAATGAGAGGTAAATTGGGTACCACGATCTGAAATAATAGATATAGGAACCCCATGCAAACGAACTATCTCTTGAATATAGATCTTGGCTAACTTCTCTAAGTTATAGGTAGTCTGAACTGGTACAAAGTGTGCAGACTTAGTCAGTCAATCCACGATGACCCATATAGCATCAAACTTACCCAAGGTACGTGGCAACCCTACCACAAAGTCCATAGCAATGCGCTCCCACTTCCACTCAGGTATGGGCATCCTCTAAGTCATACCTCCAGGCTTTTGGTGTTCATACTTCACTTGCTGACAATTCAAACATCGAGATACAAAATCTACTATGTCCCTCTTCATACGACACCACCAATAGTGTTGCTTCAAGTAACGATACATCTTAGTAGCCCCCGGATGAATAGAGTACCTTGAACTATGAGCCTCCTCCATGATCAATCTAGTCAAATCACCTGTACGAGGAACACATATACGACCCTTAATCCTCAAAACTCCCTCACTATCAAGAAATGCAGCCTTGGCTTCTCCGTTTAAAACCTTATCCCTAATCTTACATAAATCACCATCATCAAACTGTTGAGCCCGAATCTGCTCCAACAAGGATGACCTAGCCTCCATATAAGCAAACACCTTACCAGATTCTGAACTATCAAGTCTCACAAAGCTATTGGCCAGGGATTGGACATCCCTAGCTAAAGGAAGCTCGCCAACCTGTAACATGTCTAGACTATCCATACTTACCGCCTTCTGACTCAAGGCATCTGCTACAACATTTGCTTTGCTTGGGTGATAAAGAATAGTCATATCGTAGTCTTTGAGCAACTCCAACCATCTCCTCTGCCTCAAATTTAGATCCCTCTGATTGAATATATACTGGAGACTACGATGATCCGTGAACACCTCACAATGCACACCATAAAGATAATGCCTCCAAATCTTTAATGCAAACACAACAGCCGCCAACTCTAAATCATGAATAGGGTAGTTCTTCTCATGAACCTTTAACTGCCTTGAAGCATAAGCTATCACCCTTCCCTTCTGCATCAACACACAACCAAGACCAACCCGTGAAGCATCACAATATACGACAAAACCCTCTCCCTCTACGGGTAGGGTAAAAATTGGAGCAGTAGTCAATAAAGTCTTGAGCTTTTGGAAACTAACCTCACATTCATCAGACCACTGAAAAGTCACCTCCTTCTGTGTCAATCTAGTTAATAGAGATGCAATGGATGAGAAACCCTCAACAAACCGTCGATAATAACTTGCAAGGCCTACGAAACTCCGAATCTCAGTAACTGAAGTAGGTCTGACCCAATCTCTAACCGCCTCAATCTTCTTAGGATCCACCATGATACCCTCCTTGGACACTACATGTCCCTACCGAACTAAGCCAAAACTCACACTTTGAAAACTTTGCATAAAGCTTCTTCTCCTTTAGAATCCCAAGAACAATCCTTAAATGATGCTCATGCTCCTCCTTAGTGCGTGAGTATATCAATATATCATCTATGAAGACAATAACAAAGGAATCTAAATACGGTCTGAACACTCCATTCATCAAGTCCATAAAAGCTGCTAGGTCATTAGTCAGTCCGAAAGACATCACCAAAAACTCGTAATGACCATAACGTGTTCGAAAAGCCGTCTTAGTGATATCCTCCGCCCTAACCTTCAGTTGATGATTGCCAGATCTCAAGTCAATTTTGGAGGAAACTGAAGAACCCTGCAACTGATCAAATAAATCATCAATACGAGGTATTGGATACTTATTTTTGATGGTTACCTTGTTCAACTGCCGATAGTCAATACACATAGGCATAGATCCATCTTTCTTCTTCACAAATAACATTGGAGCACCCAAAGGAGATACACTTGGTCTAATAAAACCTTTGCTCAACAAATCCTGCAGCTGCTCCTTCAACTCTTTCAATTCAGCTGGTGCCATACGATAAGGAGGAATGGAAATAGGCCGAGTTCCTGGCTCCACATCAATACAAAAATCAATATCTCGATCTGGTGGAAGACCTCGCAAATCGGTCGGAAATACTTCTGAAAATTCACTAACTACTGGAATAGACTCAAGCATAGGAGTCTCAATACTGGTATCTCGAATGTGGGCCAAGTACGCCAAAGATCCTCTCTGTACCAACTGACGAGCCTTAAGGAATGATATCACACCCTTAGAGGGATAACTAAGAGTACCTCTGCATTCTACTATAGGAATTCCAGGCATAGCTAAAGTGATGGTCTTGGCATGACAATTTAAAATTGTGTGGTAAGAAGATAACCAATCCATACCAAGAATTACATCAAAATATATCATTTCTAAGACCTTTAAATTTGCATGAGTGTCATACCCCATCAAAGTAACACTACATAAACGATACACTTGATCTACAACTACAGAATCCCCGACAGGAGTAGAAACACGTATCGGCAAATAAAGAGACTCACACAATATATCCAGACTAGGAGCAAAATTTGTGGACACATAAGAATAAGTAGAGCCTGGATCGAATAATACAATAGCTGATCGATGACAAACCGGAATAATACCTGTGATAACAGCATCTGAGGCTTCAGCCTCTAGCCTACCTGGAAAAGCATAACAGTGAGAACGACCTCCATTAGATTGTGAACCTCCACGACCACCACCTCGAACAGAAGGAGAACCATCTCTACCTGAATGAGAACCACCTCTACCATTTTGTGCACCATCCCTAGCTGGAGGTTGTGCAGCCCTGGAAGTCGAAGCCTGAGAATCCTGAAGTAAGCCACCACGTCTGGTCCTAGGGCAGTCTCTCACAAAGTGTCCCATATCACCACACTCAAAGCAACCCCTACGAGATGCCGGCTGATGAGAGGAACCGGAATGACCAGAATGCCCTCCACGAACTACAGGTCTAGAAGATGAACCCTGCGAAGTATGTACCGAGCTCGAAGAGTTATGCCCAGCGTAACCAGCCTCAGACGCTGGTATAGCAGCATGAATGGGTCTGCTGGACTGAGGGTGATAACCTCTGCCCAAGTAACCCCGACCCCTAGGCGGAGCACCACCATAATCACCTGAATAACGAGTCCTCTTGCCCTCTCGCTGCTCGAATCCCTCACGTCGAATCATCTCCAACTCCTTAGCAGCATCTACCACTTTCTGGAATGGAACACCAGAAGCAGCAACCTTAGAAACTCCTAGACGGATCGGAATAATCAACCCCTTAACAAACCTCCTCACTCTCTCAGCCTCTGTGGGAAGTATCATCGAAGCATGCCTAGCCAAGGCATGAAATTTACCCTCATACTCTGCAACTGACATACCATTTTGTTGCAAACCCTCAAACTTGGCCCTCTTGCGCTCCCTCTCACTGCGTGGAACAAATTTGGATAGAAATACCTAAGTAAACTCAGTCCAGGATAGTGGATGGGATCTAGCTGGCCTACTACTAATATAATCCCTCCACTATTGCTTAGCCAAGCCAGTCATCTGAAATGCTGTGTAGTAAACTCCATGAGACTCCACTAATCCAATATTATGCAACCTCTCATGACAACTAACTATGAATTCATATGCATCCTCAGCTAAGTCACCAGTATAAGTAGGAGGTTTTATTAGTCTGAACCTCCAAAACATCTTTTGCTCATCAATAGTCATAGAAGGCCTATTCATCAAATGTGATGTCATATCTGGAAACTCCATACTATGCAAATGAGGAGCTACAACGGCAGTTGGCTGAGTCCTGGGAATCTGAGAATCTGGAGCAACTATCGGATCTGGAGTTTGACCTCCAACACGGGTCTGTGAGCCATCATAAGTGACAGGCAAAGGTCCTGCCTGGGCCATCCCCTCTAGCATTCCTAACATACGAGCCAAGTTATCTTGAAGCACTGGGGGGGACAATAGTACTGGGTGGAGCCTGAGCTTGCCCATCCCCCTCGACACGATCTTGCACATCCCCATGAATAACTTCTGCATCAGGAGGTACGGTCCTATCACGGCCCTGGGTAGCTATTGGTACTTGACCATCCACCAGTGCTGCAACACGGCCCCCACCCTGACCTCGAGCTCGTCTCCTACCTCTACCTCGGACAGTGTTCCCAGAAGCAGGCGCAGGAATAGGATCCTGACCACCACTTGCCGATGTACGATTCCTCGCCATCTGAGAGAGAAAGAAATATTAAGATTAGAATTTCTACAAGGTCAAGTGTGCATGATAATGAATAAAAGAACAGATTATTTCCTAAATGTCCTATAGCCTCTCGAAGATAGGTATGGACATCTTCATACCGATCCGCAAGACTCTACTAGACATTGCTCTTGTACTCTTTAGACAGATGAACCTAGGGCTCTGATACCAAATTTTTCACGACCCAAATTTTTCAAGTCGTGATGGCACCTATGTTCCCAACCAAAAGGTAAGCCAACCCAACATATTAACCCAACTAAACCAACAAATGAGTAAAAAAGACAAACGCTTAGCAAGAATCTCCAACATTGAGTTCCTTATAAGTACGAAATGCGAAAGATAAAATATATCACCACAAGAATTGGTGTCTTAAGTACAAGAGGTTCTAAAATTCGAAGCAAGTCTGAAACTAAATGACAAATCTAACATAAGGGATATCCTGTTTGAATACTTATAATAGAATAAATAAAAGATAGAAGGAGGTGTGGGCCACGGAACAGCCAAGCAGCTCACCACAACTCCAAGAACCTCAAGCCGGACTCAATTTTCTCCACGAGATGAGCTCCTACTCGGAATCGAATCTGCACCACAAAGAGTGAAACAAGCGTAGTATGAGTAGGAAACCACGTCTACTCAGTATGTCTCATTGACCGACAACGAAGAAGTAGTGACGGGAGTTATATAAGAAAAAAAATTCTTAGATTGTACATGTATATATATATATATATTACACTTAGTATTAAGTTTCATCAATAAAGGAAATCAACATTTAATATTTTCCAAACACCAAACGAAACGTATAGTCATCAAGAATGAATGATGGGATGAAATGCAATGCAATATGATGTCGTGTAATGATATGACTCAGAATACCCAGTACTCACTCAACTGTATATACATGATACTCCTCGGAAATAAATCGAGAGTTCATGACCCATGGGGGACTCGCGAGGTCCATATACCGACACGGACGATCTCCACGTGTCTGTGCGGACGATCTCAACGCACTATCATAATATCGAATAATTTTTGCACGGATGGTCTCCACGTACCCAAATTACAATCTTAACATCTCACCATCCCCAGCACGGACGATCTCCATGTGCCCAACTTATACTCAGTCTCATGTCTATGCATGTGCACAATATTATTTCAAAAGAGGGGATGATGATGCATCTCAATAAATCAATATGAACATAATACGTAACCACCTCAATTATCACAACTATACCGGTGAAATAAATAGAACACAATCACACATGGAATTCAAGTCAATAATATATCAGCTAATGCCCATATGCTTTGGCATTCTCAAATTTCAATCCACATTCTATAATAGTAATTTTCCGTTTTATAACATCGGTACTCGTACCAATGCCCGTCACACCATTGATACAAGACCACCATCTTTCCCCCTTATTCCTTTGTCTATTTTCATTTTTAATCTTTAATTAGGAAAACGTCTTTCAACAAGTCTAAAAAGTCTTAACATACCTTAAGAGCCTAACCTCGTGCCACGAATCTTCAAGATAGTTTCTTTCCCTTTCGCAAAGTTTCGGAATGTTTACAATCTACCAATTACGCAGTATTCGTAAGTAAGCGAGTTTGTAGACTTTAAAATTATTGTATGTCTATCATAGACC